GTGTGCTGTCTCCTGGGATACCTCCACTTCCTGGATGGTCTGTGTTCCCAGGTGGCCTGACTATGCTCCACCATTGGCCAGAACTCCCCCCCGATTCTGCCTTCCAAACCGAGGTCTTGTCATGGGGTGGGGGGGCTGGGGTGGTATGCTAGGAAATATGGTAGGCCTTCCTTCTCCCATAGAGAGAACCTAAGGGTCCGGCCTCCAAGCACCAAGACACCCAATCTCCTATCCCGGGTGGGAGTTTTACTGGATGTCTCCATCGCCTCCATGCTGGAGAGAACCCAGGCATCCCGGCACCCCCATCACCCTACTCATCTGTTAGAAGTGGGAGGGAACCCAGGTGTCCCGCTCCTCACTCGCTCTCCCTCTCACCTCCCAGATCCCTCTCCCCTCCCAGAGGTGGGGATAGAACCCGGGTGTCCCGGTTCCCAGCCCCCCGCTGTAACCCACCAAACCCCTTTCTCCTTATAGACCTAGATAAAGAACCCAGGTGTCCGACTCCCTGCCCTTCCTGCTGCACCCCATATCTCAGAGCCTCAGAGGGAACACAGGCGTCCGGGTTCCCAACCCTCCTTCTCTCTTCCCCTCCAGGCAATGCCTCCCTGACCAAGTCTTCGGCAGGGTGCGCAGCCCCTGGTGCTTGCCGCAAGAGAGTCGGGGTCACCAAATATGCCCGGGGAGTCTTCGACACCCTCACCCAAGCCGTGTGCTACCCAGCGCCCCGTGATGAGCTCTGAGCCCAGGGCCGGGCCTGCCCCTGGGCATGGGGGCACCCTCCCGTGGCTGCCACTCGCTGTTGCTGCTCTGGGGCTAGGGAGTGTTTTTGGGAGACGGGGATGGTTTCTGTGAGGCCCAATAAAAACCTGGAGGAATCTTTGTCATCACGAATCTGCCTCATTTCTAAGGGCAAAAGAGCGGGGAGGGAGGGTGTCCAGGCTCCCAGCACCCTTTGCTCCAACCTGTCCAGCTACCATGCCCCTCCTAGAGCTAGAGAACCCAGGTGACCCGGGTCCCAGAGCTGGAGAGCCCAGGCATCCAGGATCCCTGTTTTAACCCACCAGACCTCACTCCCCTTCGCAGGGCTGGGAGGGAGCCCTGGCGTCTGGGCTCCCAGTCCCTTGCTCTAAGCCCCCAGGCCCCACTCCTCCCCCAGAGCTGGAGACCCCAGGCGTCCAGGTTCCTCCATGGTCTGACCGACGAGATCTCAGATCCATCCCAGAGCTGGGAAAAGAACCCACGTGTCTGGGCTCCTAATCACCTGTCCTGGGCATTTTCCAGTTGCTGAGCTCTGTGCTTTCCCATGCGTCCTTGGAGATGCCCCCCACCTCAACACACCACTTGACCGCAGGGGACCTCCCCACCACATGCAGCCGCTGGTGTCCCTTCTCCAACCAATGAGGGCTTGGCTCGCTGTGAGCCCTTCGCTGACAGCTTTGCATTGCCATGGGGGATTGGCTGGGAGGGGGAACAAGGTGGGGCAGGACTCCCGGGTCCCTTCCCTCCCCATGACAAATGAAATCATGAGAACATAAGACCCAGCCTCATTAGTCTCTCCCACACCCCACCACTCATCCTTGCTGCCCTTCTCTGGACCTTCTCCAGTTCTTCTATCTCCTTCAGGTGGTCTGGGGACCAGAAATGGGTGCAGTTATTCAAAGTGTGGACACACCGTGGAGGCAGCACTTGACCTTATGGGTCATTACAATCTACCTGATTCCTGCCAATCTCTTCATTGCACAGGCATTAACACCCCCTCGCTCCCATTTTTCAAATGGTCTTGAGCTTCCACCAGAGCTGTCCCTAGGGGACAGCGAATTGGGGCGACTGCCCTGGGCCCTGCGCTTTGTGGGGGGGGCGTGGCGCAGAGCTGGGCAGAGCGGCTGTGGCCATGGCCCCTCCTGCGTGCCCCACCTGGAGCTGGCAGTTCAGCCCTGCACTGTGGAAGAAGCATGGAGACTCCCTCCCTACTTTGCGGGGGTACCACGGCTCCGCGCAGTGGTAAGGGGGCCCTGCACAGGCTTATTTCCCCCAGGCCCTGCACCACCCTAGGGCCTGCTCTGTCTTCCACCATCAAGCCAAACCTCCCTTCACCAATTGGACTATCCGCAAGATGTTCCCAGGAACGTGGCTCCCATTTCATGGCCCTGAAGATTGGTTTTATGTCTTTCTTTTTTTGAACCCTAGCTTAAAAAACATTCACTCAGGCACAGAATTGACTTCTAACAAAGGATAGGATGCCTCCTCCAGAGACTCCTAGAGCAGTGGGACTGGGAGGGACCTCTGGAGGTCACATCTAGTCCAGCACCATATCTGAGGCTGGATCAGCCCTGTCCAAACCATCCCACTACAGAAGAAGCACCCTCCCACCCCCCCAAAATTGGTACCAATCTGAGCATGGCATAGCCAGGGATCCTGGTTTTCTCTGATAAAAAAAATCCCAAATTTTCTGATTTAAAAAAGTAATATTTTACACACACACACACACACACACACTTGTGTAAGAAATCTCGGGCAGCAGCGGGGGCAGACGATGCTCCGGGCCCTCACACCACCCCCTTCCGTGTGTGTATGGATTTAGGGTTAACTGTTTTAAATCAGAAAATTTGGGATTTTTTTAAATCTGGTTTCTTTTTTTTTTTTTAAACTAGGAAACCTGGGTAGCACCAGTGGGATGGGGGTGACACCAGGAGGCAGAAGAGCAGACAAATAGCCGAGGGCTAGCAGGGCACCCATGGCTGTGAGATCTCTGGTGCAGGAATTGGCCCAATAACGAGCCAGGCCAAAGCCAGGGTTGGTTTGCACCTTTGAGACTGACTTGTGCAGAGATCAGGGGTTTGGGAACACACAGCCAGAGGAGGTCTATTAAAATATGGTCACTAAACTGAGAGGGCTAAAGGAAGTGCAAGTAGCTCCCAGCCCCCTGGATGCACATGCTAACAAGGATATGTAGATAACAAGCTGAAACCGGGATAGCATGGGGGGTGTGGTAAAAATATGTTATAATCTAGTCATTATGATTTTACAATAACGTTTGTATAGCAGCTGTGTGGTAAAAATGTCTCATCTCACTACACAAAGGCTTCACAGCTGAGAACTGTTTGGCTTCACTACACAATTGCTTCTGCTAAGTCATATAGGCCAATGATAGATTTACGAGTAGCACTAGACTTCTGCAGACATAGCCAAGAACAGATGCAATAAATAACTCCTTACGAGAGATAAGAGAAGAGGGACAGGGAAAGATGCTGATGTAAAGAACTCAGACCCTGACCGAAGAATGACCGAGATGGGCTTAAAGACGGCCCCAGGGAGGAGATTTAAGATGTAAATGAGACATGTATGTAAACCGTCATAGAACATGTAACTGCTAGACATATGTTGCAAGACATAATACTTGGGCTGCCAATAATTACGTGACACGTTAAAATCTTTTGTTTATGTTAGCTATAAAAAGGAACCCCAGACTCTGTTTGGGGTCAACACGGATTTGAGCATTAAGCTCCCTTGTCGAACTTGTTTGCAAACAGTAAATCTGAAATTGGACCCAGTCTGTGTGTGTGACTCTCTCCTAGAGGTGGATTGGACAAGCCTCCAGGGGCATGAAACTAGCCATTTGTGCAACAGGGGGTATGTCGAAAATGGGCACACGCAGTCTGCATGGTATGTAGGGGGACAGGACACGGGGAAGATTGCTCCATGCTTTTATTCAGCCAATGTGGTGCCATGAAACACCGCTGTGAAACATGCCGTGAGAGAAACCGTAGCCACTTATGGCTGGCGGGAAGGGGCTTCCAGGCTCAGGAGAGTGGCAGGGTCCCCAGTCAGACGTGATGGGGAGCTGGGTAGCAGGCAACATTGGTGAGGATATCAAAGGTGTTTCTGGTGTACTTGGTCACCCCAAATCTCTTATCACAGATCCCGGGAGAGCCACAGCCAAACGCAGACTTGAGGAGCGTAACGTTACCTGGAGAGGAGGAGAGAAAGAGCCTTGAGGGCTTGGAGATGTCTGGGCTTCTTCCCTCCCCGCTGAACCCCGGGCTTGGCATGTTGGCAAGGAGGTTGGATCTGGTGGATCAGACCAGAGCGGTGCTGGGATCCAGTACACCAGGGTTCACCCCCAGGCCTGGGATGGGCATGGGTTGGGGCAGGCATTACCAGCTACTAGAATCCCAGTGAACTCGATACACTGATCTTCATCGCCGGTACAGGGTATCATTTTGGTGCTCTTACACTTCTTCCCTCCCAACTCTACGCATGATGGACACATCCGGCCATTGGGCTCTGACTTCGAGGTTGGCACTGGAGACAGAAGGATAAAGGAGGACAGCTCAGCTGGGGTGGGGTGGGGGGTGGTGGTATCTGGTAGGTTACAGGAGGAGGGGGTAAGACCCTGGACTCCTGGGTTCTCTCCCAGCCCTGGAAGAGCAGTGAGGTCTGTTGGGCTGGTGGACGGGGGGATGCGGCCAAGAATCATACAAAATGAGGTTTGAAGGGACCTCAGGAGGTCACATCTAGACTAACCCCCTGCTCCAAGCAGGTCCAGCCCCAACTAGATCATCCCAGTCAAGGCTTTGTCTAGTTGGGTCTTCAAAACCTCCAAGGATGGAGACCCCACCACCTCTCTGGGGAGCCTGTTCCAGTGTTTTACTTCCCTTCTCATGAGAAAGATCTTCTTAATATCCAACTTCAACTTCCCTTGCCCTATGGAAGCACCGGGGGAGCAGGGAGAGCTCAGATGCCTTGGAAAGAAAGTCCTGAGGAGAGGGGAAAGGAGCTGGGCATATTCAGCTGGTGAAAAAGGCACTCAGGAGGGGACCTGAGAGCCACCTGCTGATACTCTGCTATAAAGAAGAAAGCTGTCTCTCATACTGCAGAGAGCAGGATGTGGACCAGTGCCTTGATGTTACAGGTTTAGATTAGAGATTAGGATAAAATACTCCACTGTCAGAGCCAGGAGGCAGTGGAGTGATTGCTCAGGGGAGTTATGGACTCTTTGTCATGGGAGAGGTTCAAGGAGAGGTTGGAGAGCCACTTGTGGGGGATGATCGGGGCATGGCAATGTCTATGTCCTACTAGGGGGATGTCTGAGGCTTCTGGGCTTTGCTGGTTGTCTCCCCTCTTCCTGCTCCATGTGTCAAGGGGTTCTTAAGCCTCCTCCAGAGGCATTGGTGCTGGCTGTAGCCCAGGCTGGGGATGGGGACTGGGCTGTGCCAATGCTCCTGCTGGGACCAACCCCAGAGGGTCCTGGCTAGAGGGCCTTGCCCCTCCACTCCAGGCCAGACTGATGCTGCATTTTGGGTCAAGAAGGAATATTTCCCCAGGTCATATCAATATGGACTGGGGAGGCTTTGCCTTCTTTTCTAGCGGGGGGCATGGCCTTTATCTGGCATCTTTTGAGCATATATTATCAACCTTCTATAGAAGCAGGACATGAGCCCCCTGCTTTCCTGTGGCAGGTTGGGGTGTGATGTCTTGTGTCATGTCAGGGTTGATGGTCGTCTTGGGTAGAGCTTAGATGATGGATTTGTCTGGGCTGGTTTGAACAGGGCTGATCCTGCCTCAGGCAGGAGACTGGATTAGATGGGACTTCTGAAGGTCCCTTCCAGCCCAACTTCTCCATGACTCCATGACCATGACTATGGCAGGGGTGGGCAAAATGTGGCCCAGGGGCCGAATGCAGCCCGCCAGGCCATTCTATCTGGCCCGCAGAGCCCCTAAAAAATTTAGAAAATTCATATTTATCTGCCCTGGGCTGCCTGTTGTGCGGCCCTTGATGGCTTGCCAAAACTCAGTAAGCAGCCCTCTGCCCAAAATAATTGCCTGCCCCTGCTCTATGGCTATGACTCTAAGACCTCTGGAGGTCCCTTCCAGCCCAATTTCTCCATGACTCCATGACAATGACTATGACTCTATGACCTCTGAACATCCCTTCCACCCCACTTCTCCATGACTCTATGAAATGTACCTTCGGGTACCCCGTGGCTGCATCCATCCTCATTGCAGTAGGTGAAAAGTTAATGCGGAGGCTGCTGTCTGGCTGGAAAGTTGCAACGAAGGGTCTTATCCGGAGACTTGTCTCCTCCAGGCAAGACTTGGCCTGTAAGGTCCCAGATTTTCCAACTGTGGAGGAAACAGTCCAGCTCAGCCCCTGGCACCAGCCCCCAACTTGGATCCAACCTGATGCTTCCAACATCTCCTACACAGCCTCTATCTCCAGCCTCAGGGTCCCCCTCAGGTCCCCATCCTCCTTCACTCCCCTGCAGTGCCCCTTGCTGGCCACCCCCTTCTTGTCCCACCTGGGAGCAAAGCCTTGGAAGTCCAGGAGAGGAAGAGGGCTCCAGAGTCACTCACGTAATGTAGCTGGTTATGACATTCATGTATGTGTCATCTGAGGGGCCACAGGTGGTCAGGGAGCCGTTTCAGGGCCCCAGAAAGGACAGGCAGTCGTAACACTGGAGGGAGTTCCCTGCACATGGAAGAGTTGTGTATCAATACAGCAACTGGCCACAGGGGCAGCTCTTCTGGGCTTCCCCTGATGCCCAGAGCAGACCAGAAAACTTTTCTTTCCTGTTCAAGTCAAAAGAGCTCACAGATTCAGCAGCTGGGCATCTGGGTAGATACTGATTGAATATATCATCTCCGTAAGCACCCAAGAGCCTGGTTTGGGCCTGAAATGCAGCTACTGAGAGTCATTCTTAGGCTCCAGAAGATCCAACCACTGACTGTCTACCCTAATGAGCCACCAAGCACTGAACACCAATAGCCAACCACTGACTGTCTACCCCAGCCAACCTCTGAGCACCAAACAACAACAGCTAACCGACTATCTACCACAACCAACCACCAAGCACCCAACACTGATAGCTAGCTACTGGCCATCTACCCCAACCAAACACCAATAGCTAACCACTGACCATCAACCCCAACCAACCACCAAGCACTGAACATCAACAGCCAACCACCAGCCATCAACCCCAGCCAACCACCAAGCACTGAACACCAACAGACTGTCTACCCCAACCAGCCACCGAGTCAACCACAAAGACAAAACAACCAAGCAAACCCATAGTTTCATCTCCCTGCAACTGACTCCTAGGAGACTCCCCAGTTCAGGGTAATTTCAGCTCATGAATCGGGGCACCATATAGAGTTGACCCTGGATCTCCACCATCTCTGGGGATTCTCCAGGAGAGCTTCTGTTTCCCTCTCACTCAAACTCCCTGCTTCCCCAGAGACCCATTCCTCCATCCAACCCCCCACAAAGAGTCTCAATCAACCCTCCAGGTTTTGCAAACCAAATAGAGAGGAATTACAAAGTTTCCCTCTGCTTCAAATACCCAGAAACCTAGCCCAGAGACGGCCAATCTAGGGGGAGAGAAAGCATCATGGAAAGGATGGAGCTGAAACTCACCTGGAGCTAGGAGAGCAGACAGGAGACTGAAGAGGAGCAGGATACCCATGGCTGCAGGTTTTCAGGGTACAGATCTGTCTGGGGAGGAGTGGATATTTAAGGGCAGGGAATGGTGCTGATGGGATCTGAGTGTCCCTGGAAGGTTATCCATGTTCCTGGTGCAATCCATGAGGGTGTGCTAGGCAAGTGCTAGCAGCTCATCTTGCTACATTGGCTGGAATTCTGCCCATATGGAGCCCTCCTTCTGACACTTCCATCATATTCCAGCCAATTGTTATCATGGATGCCAGCTCCTTGGTTACCCAACTCTCTCACACACTGGGGGTCTCCAGGATGGCGTCTGTTTCTCCTTGGCCAAGCTTCCTTCCTACTCTAGAGAACCTTTCCCCCATCCAAGCTTTCTCCCCACAAATCTTTGTGCAACACCCCAGGAATTTTGCCAAATGGACAAAAAAAAAAAGCATTGTGAAATCCCATCCCACTCTAAATGCCTGATGGCTTGGCCCAGAGCTGGCCAATCTGGGCAGAGAAAGCATCACAGATGGGATGGGGAGGAAATTTACATGTAACCAGGAGAGCAGACAGGAGGCCAAGGACAAGCAAGACGCTTGTGGCTGCTGGGTCTCAGGGGCACAGATGGGTCTGAGGGTGGAGGAGATTTATAGGCACGGAGCAGTGTCAATGGATCTGGGTGTCCTGTGAAGGGTCCATGGATCGATTACTTGGAGCCAATGGTAGAGCACCCTGACGATATGGGTAGCAGGTGCTATTGGCTTATCTCTCCCACCCTTCTGCCCTCAGCTGGTGTTCAGCCCACCTGGTCCTCAACTTTCCATGTTTGACTGACATTTCCCCTTCTCTCACATTGATGTCTCCATTGGACGTCCAGTCCAACTCTTCGGTGACACGATCTGCTAGATCCTCATTCTCTCCCATGGTCCATGGTTGGGTCTCACCAGCTTCCCAAGGCTGTGCACATTCTTGAGTAGAGGGAGCCAGAGTCTTCTGCCCAAACACTTGGCTAGATCTTCTGCCCCTTGGTCCTTGACCTCAGGGACAGAGCTCACATGTCTGCATTGACCCTTGGGTCAGAGGATACAAGACTGGGCTTTCCCAGCAGATGAAACCTAGGACTCCTGGCCCCCACTGTATCCCACAGCTTGATCAACCCTGACTTTTACATGCACCTGACTCAACATCAGCAGCTCATGAAGCTAGTCTAGGAGAGCTAGAAAGGTGCCAAGGGGTATTGCATCATGAAGATTAATGTGAACTCTGTCTACATGGATACTCAGTGTCCCTGGCTCTCCATCAAGCCAAAACATCTATTTTAATTGTCAGTGTGCATCCATGTGAGCTGTGTCCTAAACCAGATCAAGCTGGTACACAATGAGTAGAGAAAGCTTGAGCAGACGCACCTTCCTCTGAACTCATCTCACTTCACAAGAACATAAGAACTGCTGTTCACTGGGTCAGACCATAGGTCTGTCTTGCTCAGTCTTGTGTTTCACACAGCGGAGGCTGGAAGGCAGAGTGACCTGGGTCCAACCAGGGTTTTTCCCACCATTCCTCTCCCACTTGCAGCCTCCAGCATTGAAGGTCTGTGATGTTTTTATTCGGAGGCTGTGCACCCCTCATGCACCCCTCCATAGCTAGTGATGCCCCTTTCCTTCAAGAACAGGCCTGGCCTCTTTAATCTCTTCTCCTGTGGAAGCCTCTCCATAACACTCATCATCCCTGTTGCCCTTCTCTGGATCTTCTCAAGTTCTTCCATCTCCTTCTGGAGTTGCAGAGACTGGAACTGGACACAGTATTCAAGGTGTGGATGCACCATAGATTTATAGAGGGGTATCATGACAGACCTCTGACATTCTCCCACCTGCTCTTTACCTTTGCCTCTTCCTCTCTCACCCAAACTCAAGCAGATGAAGGGAAATGCTAGATTACCTCACCACTGAGCAGAAGGCTCTAGTGGTTCTCAACCTTGCTGGACTCAAGGCTCCCCTACCTCGTTAAACTCAACCTACCCTTTGTTAGATGCGCGCCTGCCCTCATTTAGCTCAAAGTTCTCTGTTGGAAAATGCCAACTCTCGGCTTTCATTTGCTTCTTGACTCTGGAACAATCCTAGAGAGAGTCTTCTGATACAAAGAACTCAACAGAGCCATGACAAGGCAGCAGGGTTTGGACACTGGATTCCTATTGGAAATTTCGGGGTTGATCTTGTGGAATTGTGTGTAGACACTTGCTCATTGAACTGGGCATGGCTCCCTTAAAAGGATTTCTTGGTATCCCAGTTGAGAACCACTGGTCTTTAGGTAGGCGGTAGAGGCTCTTGAAATGACCACAGTAGGTCACCCACATTTCACATCTGTAGAGGAGAGTGGGGATAGTGACTGCCTTGTAGACCTGGATCTTGAGGTCTTTTTGAAGATCATAGCAAGGAGCAATGGTTTCAAGTTGCAGCAAGGGACATTTTGGTTGGATATTAGGAAAAACTTTCTCACTAGGAGAGTGGTGAAGCACTGGAAAGTTACCTAGAGAAGTGGTGGAATCTCCATCCTTGGACATTTCTAAGGCCCGGTTCAACAAAGTCCTGACTGGGATGATCTAGTTGGGGCTGGTCCTGCTTTGAGCAGGGGGTTGGACTAGATGTGACCTCCTGAGGTCCCTTTCAGCCCTCATTGTCTATGATTCTAAGTCAAATTGGAAGGGACCTCCATAGGTCATCTAGTCCAACATGAATAAAAACAGGCTGAAGCCATTTCTTGAAGGAAGCACTTGCACACTGGATCTCCTAATCAACATTCACTCTCTGAGAGAGGTGGCTACTGGCATAGGGGAAGTGCTCAACTACCTCCAAGGTCTTTCCCTTGATGGTAATTGTGGGACAGGGGTCAGACTCATGGCCTGGGGTAGATTGGTCCTCTTGATGTTGAGAGGCCCAAAGTTTGGTAGACTTCTTTGAAGAGGTCCAGTGTGGTCTGGAGGTTTTCCTCAGTGTGCGCAAGGATGGTGGAGTCATCAGCATATTGAAGGTCAAGGGTGGTTATTTTGAGCACTTAATTAATAGCTAAAGGTTGTGTGTTCATCCCCTTCTCCCCAAACAAGCCCTACATTTGGACCCAGCCCTTTTCCCCTAACATTCATGGAAAACCATTGCTACCCACACTTTGGGGAGGAGGGAGGTAGAACAGGGGCCCAGTTCAGGCTCACAGCTCCTTATGGGTTGGCATAGAGCAGGGCCCCGGGTAGCACATGGCAATGGACAAGACATCAAAGATGCCCTTGGCACATTTTGTGAGCCCAACTGGTTTATCACCAGTGCCAGGGTGAATGCATCTAGTTCTGGCCTTGCTCAAAGACAAGTCACCTGAAAGGGAAGAGGGAAAGATGCAGAAAGGGGACTGTCCTTGGGTCAAGAAACTCAAGAAGAGAATGGGGATCTGCAGGGTTAGAAAAGGGAGGCTGGGAGCCCGGACACCTGGGTTCTGTCCTAGCTATGGGAGGGGAGTGGGGTCTGGGGAAGTAGTAGAGCACAGAGTGGCTGGATCCCAGACACCTGGGTTCTTGACTACCCCTGGGAAGGGAGCAGGGTCAGTCACATGGAACAGCAGCAGGGCAAAACTAAGATTATTTCTTCATGCTTTTATTCAAAGGTGCAATTGTTGCCATCCCAGAAACAACTGCCAAGAGAAGCAGGAG